ACGACTGTGGCCTCCCGGGTGTTCCCTTTCACATCACGTCGGATGCCGGAAGAAAACTAACTTTTGAATATCTTCTTTTGAATGCATTCCAAACAAAATGAGGGTGTTCGAATTTCCGCTTCGTTGACTGCCCGATAAAAAATCGCTGGCACGGTATGGCCGGTGGCGCAGGGCCATTTATCGCGTTTTCCTGCCGACGTCCGGCGCTGCCTCTGCCGCGCGACGATGGTGGAAATGATTGTGATGACGCCGAAAGCGGCGGAACACATCCATAACGCGGCGTGCCAAAATACGCCGGCGCACTCACGCGTCAGCGCGCTCCACCAGCATCCCCCACGCGCCGATAGAGAGAGAGCGAGAGCCACCGCCATGGCGAGTTTGGGGAGTGCTGCGGTACGGTCACCCTGTGGCGGTGGTCTGCGGTGTGGACGGGAGACCACCGGCGAGCGCTTCAATCCGGCTCTGCGGATCTGTGGTGGGCGCTGTTCTCCCGCTGGGTCTGGCGTAAGAACAAGACGCCCCAGTGACACACTGAAGGCCGCGAATGTATTGCGTCGTCACACAGACAGGCGGGAACAACAGCGTGTTAGCACGGCGTCCCACAGGGTGCACCCTTGTCGCCTGCTTTCTTCATCGTTAGCGGTTCGGCTTGTTTGCCGGGACTTTTGTGTGGCGGCTTACAGTTTGATGGTAGTCGAGGAAACCACCAAACATGGCGCCTTTGACCGCGCAGCATGTCCTTATTGTTCACCCTTCTGCGCCTTCAAATACCAGCGGACCATGCTGAGCAAACATGCAATGTAATTCAATGTAAATGTGCATTTTCAATATTTTCCAAACTGGTTTTCTATTCCACCAAAGTCCTGTGTCTGTCTGAAAAAAATATGTATGTTCTAAGGTTGTTTTGGAAGTGCATGACAATGCCGAGCCCTGATACTTTCAAAATTTTGGTCATTGGCCAATGCAGCCCAGACCTTGGCAGCTCCCCCCCCCCCCCCCCCCCCCCCCGGATGGATGCGGCACACCGCCGGCCCTCAACCGCCCACCCCGCGCCGGCCAGCGGGACACTCGGCGCGGCCGCGGCGCCAGCTATGCAGCGCAAATGGGCCGCCGCCAGCTGCGGCGCGTCGTTACCGCGTCGACGCCGACGCCGCCCCCATCACTCGCCGCACCGAGACGCTTCCGACGCGCCGACGCGCCGATGCCGACGCGGCATGGCACATTTTAACGCCTTCATTCGTCTGCCTCGCTCGCAACGGCAGGAGCGCGGCGGTGAGCGTAGTGGCGGCGCGGCGACAGCAGCGGCGAGGGAAGAACACTCCACTGTTTATGATATTTTCCTGGAGCGCCCGTGCGCCGACTGCCCGCCAGTGTAGTCAGTTGGCCGCGCGGAACAAAGGGGCCGTGTCGTATTGTCACGTGCGTATTTTTAGAGGCGTGACGCTGGCCGGGGCCCACTGCCGGTCGGGTGGCGAGTCCGGCTCGGTTGGTGGCGGTGGGGCTCGTTCCTGGGTCTGAGGCCGTCACTGACTGCATGGCGTTAGTGAGAACAGATAGCGGAACTGATACTCTTGTTAGCGCTGCGGGTCATGAGTTTTGCATGGATTGCCAGGCTTAACCATGGTGTCACTCTAGTCACGCCTGCTTGCCAAAAGCAGCAAATCTTGCCACTCCTTTGAACCTGCACATCACGCCCCTACTTTGTACAAGCAAGTAAATGATAACACCAGCTGGCATGGTTTAGACACGGGTTCTCGGAGCTCCGAATGTCTGAGTTTATACCACACAGTCGTCCTCCAGCAACCAACAATGTTCCAGGTCTCCTTATTTATAAACCAACATCAGCTTACACCTGCTGCAGCCTTTCGTGCACACTGTGACGTGATTGTGTCCCTGGAAGTAGACACAGTAATACGAGACGGCGCCGCCCCGGGCCCTACGACGTCGTCTTCGGCAACAGGTGCCGCCCGACATCGCCCCACGCAGGGCGTACGGAGGCGGGATTGACCCGTTCCTCGTCACGGAACTGACGCGCCGCCGGCGTGTGTCACGTGACGCGATATGGTGTCACGCTATGGGGGAATCTGACACCCCGGCCCACACCCCACACCCCTCTGCTCACGCCATGTAACGATTCAGTGCCATGTCCCAGCGGATGTCTGTCCAGACTCCCTCCCCTAGGTCCGCTCTTCCGCGATTAGGAGGGGAGACGCTCCCCGCTGCGGCGAGGGGCGCTCGAAGGAGCCATGGACAGACACGTGCACTGACCGTCGGCCAGCACGTGCCCACGTGTCAATCAATGTGTGACAAGGGACACGTGACACGGCACACGTGCTCGACGAGGCGGAATGGCTCCCCGAGGTCCAACTGGGCGCCGGCGTTCGCCGCAGAGGGCGGCCGGCGCTGATTACAGTGCCGGACATTCTCCGAGTGATCGCGCGAGACATGAGGTGTATCACACGTCCTCCTTGACCGACAATGTGACCGGAGCTCTGCCTTGTAAGCTGGCTCATGTCCACTGGTTTTACCTCTCTACTTATGTTTGTAGATACGATCTGCAAGACGTTTAAACCAATAAAGTGCATTTACTGCATGTCTTATCCATAAATCACGACAGTCGTGTTCATACACAGGATTTCGTTGCGTTGCAGTCGGGAGGCATTCGGTCGCCAGCGTGTTGTTTCTGCTGGTCTCTCATGACGTCTGTTTTATCGTGTCATGACGGTCATATCTGGCAGACTGGGTGGCGCGTGTAGGGCGGATACCGTTTGTAGCGGGCACTGCACGGAGCGGCGGGCCCTTTAAGTCAGACCGCCCGTTGAGGACACCTTTCCTGTCGCACACCGCTCTGTATCTCGCTAATCCGGCGCCGCACCGGCACCAGCACCCGGAGACCGGGCCGACGCAAGGTCACGGGTGGAGCTGCGGGCCGCCCGCTGCCCGCCGCTGGGTCACCGCGGGACGAGGGTGGCTACGGCGGGGCTGCGCCCAGCCGACGTGCTGTGAAACGTCGTGACACGGTGGGCCGTTTAATGAACGCGCGGTCATTAATTTGGCTCGGGCGGGTCGACGGTCGGCCGGTCGGTGAACAGAGCGCGCCTGTCCGCGCTGTCCGCTCCGTGCGCGATGACAGACGGCCGGGAGGACAGGAGATAGGCGGCCTCTGGCCGGTGTCGCGGGGCGCCGACCCCTCCTCTGATCCAGATGGTTAGACAGCTCAAAGTGGTAGATCAAAACCACCACTGAGACCACCGCCGGCCGGAAGGTGTGGGCATTCGCGTAATAGGGAGCCCGCGACTGGGTCGGAGCATTACAGAACGATCATTCACTCTTGGGTCTTTAACCTCGCCTGATGGATCATTTGGTTCGTCATCGGGCAGATTCCGTTAGCCGCCCACGGGGTGCAAGACTAATCACTGCTCGAGCTAATCCGACATGTGCGGCTTCTGGCCCGGCTTTGGTCTGCACATCTCAATCGCGCGGCGGTTCCTGTCAACCCGCTGAACTCTGCTCGGAAGACGGCCAATGCGGCCGAGCTGCTGGGCCGCTGTCGGAGCACGCTCGCCTGATTGAGCCGCGCAGTGGTGTGTCAGGGGCGCCACCAGTGCCTGCAGCGGTCGGATCAATGTCCCCAGTGGATCACAGCTGTGTTTATGGTGACGACGGACCGGTCCGAGAGGATGTCGCATGAGGCGAGTGGTTTAGTGCCCTTTGTCTGGCAGCAGGGTGGACTATAGCTGGAGCACTGTGTGTGCAACACGTCAGTGGTGCACGCTGCTACATCGTCCGCATGGCAGGCACCAGTCGCTCCTGACGCTAAGAAGCCCGTGATGTATTACCATCCCTTGCAGACCAGTGCCAGTCCCACATCCCTTCCGACCGAGCGGTGTCGAGAGCTGTCCCGTGGCCCTGAACCAATCTCCGTCAGGGGTAGGGGACTGACGCTAAATCCACTCCAGGCCTGCACAAAAAAATGGACACCGGACCCGGCCCCACTGAAGCCCTTCAGCCGTGACCGATTGGCACTGATTGAAATATGTCGGCGAGGTCGCCAGCAGGGTGCCATAAATTTCGGACCTCCATGGGCGACCAATAATCGAGCCATTCCAAACGCCGCACGCCTGCTCCAAATGGCCTGACGCACACATATGTCATAATTATCAAATCACTTATCATCAAAGACGTTCTGGCGGTGGCCGCCCCTGTGGGCTAAATACTCCGGCTATAATTGATTTATTTCGGAGTGTCCCACGCCTCGAGCACGCGCTGGCAGCCCGCCCCTCCGCCCCGCCCCTTCTGCCGCTACCCTCGGCGTTAATAGCCGGCCATAAAGAGCATGCAAATGGCGACAAGCGGTGGCAGTGTGTCGCCGGCAGCTCGGCGCTTTGTCAGGACCCGCGGCCGGCCGGCCGCCGGCTCGCTGGTGAAGCTTCGGGTTGGAGTGGGAGATCGGTGGCGCGGCGCACTGCAATGCGCCGCGGCAGCCGCTAATGAGGCAAATGCGCCGCAATCGGAGCGGAATGGGTATTTTGATGGGGCGGCGTCATCCGCTCTGTGAGGGACCGGGTCGATGCGGTCGATAATGGTCATTACGATCCGTGGGGGCTTCGGATCGAATTGTGGTATTTTTGACGCTACATCGTACCCCCCCCCCCCCCACACACACACACTCAAAACAGCAAAGTTAAATTCGTGGTTCAGGACGGATGTACAGTTTTTTAAAGTTAATGTAAAGGTTATTGTGAGCCTGAACCAAGTGAAAGTTATGGGGTGATTAATCAGCGCTTTTGCCTCCGAGAACGTATGTTTTATTCTTTTTCTGAAATTGTTAACGAACTTCGTGCAATTCCTTTCACAATCATATAAAAACGCAAACAACCCCTCTCTTGGCTTATCCTCGCCGACCAGGGTATGTAATTAGCAGAGATCCAATCAGCGCCGACGCGTTCCGTGCGCCGTGCTCGTTCCGTGTCTCACGGAGCTCCCTCTCTGCCTTTCAGGCCTGGCCACCGAGATTTTCTACGTCCAGGAGGGCGTCATCAACGAGTACGCCATGAACTTCACCGTCATCGTGCCGTCCAACATCTCGGACCTGCACTTCAACTGGGAACGCACCACGCGCAAACCGGTGAGTTCCGCCGGTCTGTTCGGCCGTCTGATCGACAGCGGCGCGCGGCGCGACTGACAGCTGAATTAACCGGAGCCGCCGCCGCTGATTTGTGGCGAGCGGCTGTCGTTATCGCGCCCCGAACACGGCACCGACGTGACCGAATTCGGACGCTCTAAATCGGTCGGTTTTGTCACAACCATGGGCAGTTGACAGCGTAATGGGTTGAATGACGATGGAACAGGGTTCTTGCCGTCTGTTCATAGTAGATAATTGCAGTAGTGCCGCAGCGTGAAATTTATATGTCGGCACTTATGAAGGAAATTATACATAATTCACGCTGCCAGTGAAGCAGACTGGGGCGTTGCTCTGTGCCGATACCAGTGGCAGTGTCGCTTATACCTTACACGCCGCGCGTTCCACCAGTGAATGTTTGGAGAGCGTTCCTGGAAACGCACCACATTAATATGATCGATAATGGCCATTACAGCTATCGTCCCATTGAGTGTGTGTTCCGGGTCAAGGTGATGTGACATGACCCCTGATAGGTGATAGGATAGGACTCTCTTAAGCACTGTATATTTTCTTTTTTGCTTTTGCCGCTGAACAGAAATTCATCGGAAACACAACCGTGTTCTTCTCTACCTCATTTCAAGATAACTTTAATAATGTCTGCCGACGCAACACACAGCTAAAGCTTTATTAAAAATTATGAAAATAGGATCAACCAAAAATCGAGTTCGCTCGTCTGATAGTCAAGTCTTCATTTTAAACTTTTTTGCGGTGGGTAGGTAGGTGCTCCTTGGGCGCTCCCATGTCAACGCAACTACATACTGCATTACGTCAAAGGAACGGTACCTGAGCTCTTCACTCCTCTTTTGTATAATTCGACAAAAATGAAATTTAGTTTCCATTTAGTGCTGTCTTTTAGATAAAGCGACACATTTAGTTGCCTAGTTACTTTACTAGTAATAGCAACCGTTCACGAGTATAGCGGAGCTGTCCCCGGTGGCCACCGTATCGGCTGGCTGTATAAAGGGCCGTCCATCTGGTGTGTGTGACGAGCGGCTGCCGAGGTGTCTCTGACGCTGTGCAGTCGCCCGGCAGAGGTGCCGCACTGCACCCCTGCAGCTGAGTACACACCCTGTCCGCCTCACTGTTGGCTGCGCACACACTCAATTAGTGCCGACAACCCGTATGGAAATTCGGCCCGATTTTAGGACTAAAGTACGTATCGCTAAAGTACGTAGGACAAAAGTACGTATGCAAATGTTCGTACGCAAATATACGTAGGCGATAAAGTTCGTATGCCAAAAGTACGTACGCAAATGTTCGTACGCAAAAGTACGTATGCTAAAGTACGTAGTGTATAAAGTACGTATGCCAAAAGTACGTACGCAAATGTTCGTACGCAAAAGTACGTATGAAAAAGTACGTAGTGCATAAAGTACGTATGCCAAAAGTACGTACGCAAATGTTCGTACGCAAAAGTACGTATGCAAAAGTACGTAGTGTAAAATGTACGTATGCCAAAAGTACGTACGCAAATGTTCGTACGCAAAAGTTCGTATGCAAAAGTACGTAGTGTATAAAGTACCTATGCCAAAAGTACGTACGCAAGTGTTCGTACGCAAAAGTACGTATGCAAAAGTACGTAGTGTATAAAGTACGTATGCCAAAAGTACGTACGCAAATGTTCGTACGCAAAAGTTCGTATGCAAAAGTACGTAGTGTAAAAAGTACGTATGCCAAAAGTACGTACGGTTCGTATGCCAAAGTACGTAGTGTATAAAGTACGTATGTTAGAAGTAGGTAGGGTATAGTCGTGTAAGTTGGGCCACTTTTTCTTTATTGCTGCTCTGTTGCCATACTGCAGGGAACTCATGATAAATTCATATACCAAATAATATAGCTTTGTCCATTTCGCCCATTTACTCATCAATAAATTTTGCTATGCCTTGTAACAAATGCTCATTAAATAAAGAATCAGAAAGGTATTACACATTGATCAACTTAACCCAAGGGTGGGGTACGTACTTAATACCCTACGTACATTTGCTATACGTACTTTTGTCCGTGACGTACTTTTGTCCACACGTAGGGTAGACCGGGGCAAGTCGCCCCGCCGAGGTAAAACGCCTCACCGATGTTTCTCGGAACTGGCAGGGTTCTGGGGAAAGATCCTCTCTTCTGTTAATCTAGTGCAGGGGTCGGCAAATGGTGGGGCATGCCCCCTTTGGCGGTAATGGAGCCCTTTCGGTGGGGGTAATGAGGGATTCTGAGAAAGCCTATCTTTTTAGAGTTTGTAGCTCCAGTGATGGAGCCATCGTGACTGTTGCATCCCAGGGTTCAAAGATTAGCCCAGGCCAAAGGCACAGCACACTATTGATTAGATACCAACTTTCACGTATGTACCTGCTCGCCTCACCATCTCACCCCTCCGTACAGTCGTTCAAAAGCAGTTGCAACTTTTAACCGTCGCCCGTCTGTTGGCGTTTCAACAGCCGCTAACGTAAGGGGGAGGAGTCGATCGGACCCCCGCGGCCTCTCGGACTCTGATATGGAGCTGTGCATAAAAAAGACGAGCGTGCTACCCGTGACCATAGGAAGCCGCTGCTGCCCATTTTTAAGGTCCTTGGTCATTCCGTCTCATTCAAGAGGGCAATGATAAGTGTCGAGAAAATCGGGACCCGCTATAACTTCTTGAAGTGAGATTTTATGGCTCAAGATGATCTCCATAAAAAGCTCATAGGCCAACGGTCATTATGGGTCCAGAGGCCAGTTTTACCAACAGAAAAATAGCCGCCTGCCGGAATTTTTGCCTAAAGATCGTTTCACATATGGAGCGTAAACGGTAAAGCCCTATCCGCTTACGAGCCCATCGCGTTTACGCTCCGTATGTGAAGCGGTCTTGAGGCAAAAATTCCGGCAGGCGGTTATTTTTCTGTTGGTAAAACTGGTCTCAGGTCATGATATTTTCCGGGCTGGTGAAAAAAAAAATGATGGGCTCGAGGGTACAATTTGGTCGTGATCCAATGCCTTTTACGTGAGCTTTTAACGAAAAACCACCCGCCGCCCTTATACGTACAAGAGTTAAATGGGATATAGCATAGGCGGCGGAACGGGGAGGGCACCGGGGCACCGTGCACCCTTTGATTTTTGCATTTTAACATTAGCCCTATGGGCGTTGCATGAAAAGAATGGGACCAAAAGTCGGCAGTGCTCCCCCCTCCCCCTTAATTGAAGGTGTTCCGCCGCTACTGGGATATAGGCATTAAATGTTTTGTGGAGGAAGTGTCATGTTTTAAATTTGATGCATTGGAAATGCACAAATACCCAAAGAGTTCCAGGACGGTATGGAATTTCAGTAAACATAGTTGTGTCAGCAATGGGGTCTGGTAGGTGGGGGCAATAGCCCTGCCTGGCGCCCAAAAAGGGGGCACGACCCCGAATGACCTGCCGACCACTGATCTAGTGTATGGGGCTTCTTGCCTCAGGCCGTGGGGTGTTTTGCCCTGGGGTTGGGGAAAATGCCCCATTTGCAGTTGCTTCACAAAGCACTTCCTAGCTGGGAGTCCGATCATAAGTGAATGAATTTGAGGGGTGAAATTTAAAGTAAAATGTCCAAAGAACACATTGAGCACAAATGTGGCCTTCCAGGTGATGTGAGACAAAAGTAGGTACCCATTTAGCAAAATAAATTATCTGTGGCGTCTTGCCCAAGGCTACCCTACTTTATACCCTACGTACAGCCCTCTGCAGACTGCGTGGTAGGTATTCTTTTTTCGACAAAACCGAGAATAACTCAAAGACTAAGTTATCGGTCGGTCGGATCTCATTGCATAAAGATGCGCCATGCTCCACTCCTTCGATTGGTTCTATCACTGAACGAATTATACAACTAGTGTAGCAACAAAATACAAAAGTTTGTTTTGGGGGCAGATATAAACTTTCTTGTATTGTTGTCAAACTAACTGGAAAATGTATACCAAAATAAGCCAAATCTAAGGTGCGGAGTCTCGCACGTCTTGCTGTTACGTTTTCCAAGTGGCCAATAGCATAGTATTCGCGTTATTCCCGGTTTTGTCGAAAAAAGAATACCTACCACGCAGTTTGCAGAGGGCTGTACATTTGCTATGCGTAGGCTTTTGTACGTGACGTACTTTTGTCCATACGTACTTTATACCCTACGTACTTCTGCGATACGTACTTTTGTCCGTGACGTACTTTTGTCCATACGTACTTTTTACCCTACGTACATTAGCTATACGTACTTTTGTCCGTGACGTACTTTTGTCCATACGTACTTTATACCCTACGTACTTTTGCGATACGTACTTTTGTCCCTGACGTACTTTTGTCCATACGTACTTTATACCCTACGTACTTTTGCGATACGTACTATTGTCCCTGACGTATTTTTGTCCATACGTACTTTATACTGTACGTACTTCTGCGATACGTACTTTTGTCCTTGACGTACTTTTGTCCATACGTACTTTATATTGTACGTATTTCTGCGATACGTACTTTTGTCCCTGACGTACTTTTGTCCATACGTACTTTATACTGTACGTACTTTTGCGATACGTACTTTAATCCTACGTACTTTTGCTTACGTACTTTTGTCCTACGTACTTTAGCGATACGTACTTTTGTCCGTAACCCATTCGGCCCGACCGCCGCGGGGAGGTCGCTTTATAGCGAGACGCAGCGGTGACATTGTGCTGCCAGCCTACCTGTCATCGCCAGCCTCGATTGTAGATTCTGAGAATTTGGGAGAGGACTCAGCACAAGATTAGCCGAACATCATCTTACCATAGACGAACGCCTGCTTTGGGACTTTGGCTTACCCGATTTGAATAATCGTATGGCCTCAGGGAAGGCTGAAACGCAAATGCATTTTAAATAGCATCACTCTGCAATTTCTCATCAGCTTTAGAATTCTTCAGAGCCAGACTTCTTATTTACGATGCAGTTCAATTCACAACGCGCGTCTCAGCCCTAACACACCACATCAGATCAGAGCCAGAAATTAAAGTATCTTGAATCAGCCGAATGTAGCCGATTGACCCCATTTACGTCATTCGGCTGCGTCGGCGATTGGCCCGATATAAGACCGGAACCTAACTCAATCGCAGCGCGCGGACGCCGGCGAAAATGACGCGTTTCCTTTTCGATCCGCGCCGGCATTGCCGCACTGAAGGCGGCGTCATTATTGGAACGGGCCGGGGAGCCGATTCCGCTCTGTTAAATCGCCCTGAAATCGCCTTTGTCTCGGCTGAAAATTGGGTCCCGTATCGTTTGTTCGTGTGACAGGGGCGACATGTCGATTTGAACACGGTGTTTCAGCTGCCGTGACATGGCTGGGAGTCGCATTTAAAATCTACACGCATCTCAAACCGAAAACGTTCAGTTTGAGATTGGGCAATCCACCTCGCCATTAGCAGCTGCAGATTGGTGGTAATTTACAAGTCGATGTCAACCTACATCTAGCTAGGGCTGGTGGTGCAAGCAAGCAAGCCCGGGCCGTCCTATGTAGAGGTCTATGATACAAACAAACGAAAAACTTGCAAACAAAACGAGTGGCGTTTGTTGGTTTGAAACGAATATCAACGTCGAAGCCGTTAGCATGATTATTGTTCATCGATTCACGTCACTTTAGATTTATTGCGATGTGATTTGATAGTGCCTATTTAGTGTCCTGCCATTGCTCCTGCACCAAATTTTCGCGCGTCCTTTCCTGTCCTATACCCGTCACAGCCGCACCCACGGTGCGTCCGCGGCCGTCGATCGGGGCAGATGGTCTCGGCGGCGACCCCACCGATCACCGCAGGGGGCCAGATGACGTCGATACACCCCGATGGCGTGAGGCTCCCCGGCGGCGCTCCCGCAGAGTGGCGCCTCTTAAACGGGTTAACTCGTGATGGATGCTAGAGGACCCCTCCGACGCCCCGTTCACGCCCCCGTGATCGGCTCTGTTTTGCTCATTCATCCAATGATCGAGAGATGAGAGAATAACGAGCCGCTTTTTATCCCCGAACGATTCATCGCTTCCTTCAAACTAGCATATTGAATCCTCACCTTTTTTGAAGGAGATCTCTTGATATTGGATGAATGATGACTGAAGACGCTGAAAGAATAAGGAGGCGCAGCCTTTGCCATGTTTTTAATTATCGATAACTAAACCTCATTTAGCAGACATCAACTGAACCAATTTTTGAATATTCCTGGATGTAAGAGTTGCAAGAAATTAATCATAAACTCGATGCACGTTGCTGGCCCACGACAGTCCCCAAAAGCTGTTTGTTTTCCCAGCTTTGCACACCCCCACAGCTCCCGTCTCTGATGCCCGTGTTTCCTGCCCGTCAGGTGGAGTACAACATCTCTCTGGAGGTGGCGGATCCGTCGGTGCTGGACCGCCCCACGCTCAACATCCGCTCTAGCGGCACGGTGCCGCAGGACCACGAGGTGTTCACGGTGCACCTGCCGTGCCGGCCGGGCGTCACGGCCGAGACGGACGTGCGCCTGCACATCCACCTGCTGCTACCGCGCCAGCCGCCGCTGCGCCGCAGGAAGACCAACACGCTGCTCACCTTCCGGCGGACGCGCGTCTGCCGCAGCGAGACCACGCCGCCGGCCGAGCCGCCCGACCAGCGGCGCACAGAGCTGATGCTCGAGGACGCGGCCGGGCCGACGCGGCTCGGCGACCCGCCGCCAGACGAGGACGCCGCCTCGTCCGGCGTGCTCTACATGGCCATCGGCTGCTCCTGCGGCGTGGTGCTCGTCATCATGATCATTCTGGCGGTGGTGCTCTCCAGGAACAGCGCCGCCAAGCGACGGAAGCGCGCACTGAGGTGAGACTCGCCCGGGGAGCGGAGGCACAGGACTGTCCTCAAGGACAGGCGCGTAACCACGAGTCTGAAGTTACTGGGGACCATATGAAGGGCGCGAATACCAAATATCATATTTCAAGATCAGCCTCCGCCCGAGTGCAGGGAGGGAAGAGGACGGGGGCGTTTTTGGCCACTTCTGCCAGTTGTTTTTGTTGCGCGTGTAGGGAAAACCGCGGCGCGCACCGCCGCGAAACTTGGTATAGCTTATGATATCTCAACTTTGCATCGTGTGTGAAAATTTTGACCCCAGGTCACCTAAGTTCAGGTCACCACTCACCAGGTCAGTAAAGTAACCATGCCTCTAAAAAAATGTGGCTCTGTTATTCCTTTCGGATAACTGATTGGACTAAATTTACTAAAATAATTTTTAAAAAATCATACAGTTTACATCCCAGAAGTTTTAAACTCGAGCTTTTGCATGAGGAAATCAGTATTAACAATTTTTATATCTCAAAGTTTTCACATCGGTGACCTAATGTCAGGTCATTTTTACGACCTCTTCATTATAGGCAAGTCATTGGGAGAAAATTGAAATGCTCTTCTTTCATTCGACGCGTCTCGACGAGACAACCGCGATGCCGGTAACGTCAGCGTCATACAAGTTTTGAGTCCAAAGTTATGATACAAAAAGCTTGTCCGCAAAAACGCCAGCCTGGAAGATAAACCATTGACCTTAGGTCAAATCTGAGAACATTACCTACTCAGAAAGACCTTTGAAAGAGCTATCGAATGCGCTTTCCTGCAGCACTGCAGCTCTATTGGTTTCTGACTTACGTGCTGTTTTGTGAAAAGTTGTCAAAATTAGGAACAAAAGTTCGTGAAAATTTCACATTTGATGACCACCAGTGACCTCACTGATGACCTGATAAAAATGATATAGGTAATTTTGAAAGATACTGTAGCAAGCTATCTGTTGCTTTTTACCGCATCTTTCTAGCTTGCTTACTTACCGAGATAATCTGGTGTGGCCAAAAAGCCTCCCCCCACCATGGCGAAGTTGGCTGAGAGACCCACCCGGGCGCTGGCTAAACAAAACATCCATGGATGTTTTGTTTTGTTAACGGAAGACAAAACTATAGATAGTTTTGTCTCCCGTTGACTACAGATTACTCTTCACGTTGATTTAGAGACAATATTTCGCTAATCAAGCAAATTGAGGAGGTCGTCGGTTTTACTGGGGACGGTCCCCAGTAACCCAAAAGTTACTGGGGACCGGTCCCCAGTGTCCCCAGTGGTGGTTACGCGCCTGCTCAAGGACTGTCCATTGTCCGGTCGTGTCGAGATCGGTGCCACCGTGTCGCGCAGAGATCTCTTATGCGCTGTCAAATTAAACTAGAAAGACAGCGCGCGGTGACGGACCGCCGAGATTTCTGGACCAGATCCTCGTTGCGATAGCGGAGGCTGCTTCCTTTCTTGTCGACGGGCCAAAACGGGACGCGCCGCTCAGATAAGACATCCCCGGCGCGTTAGTGTCCGGCGCGACATAATCGGCGCACCATCAGTGGCGCGGTGCGCGGCTGCGCTCATGACCCAGTGCGTCGGCCGCCACCTCCGCGGCCCCATCGGGAGCGGGATCAGCGGCGGTGGTTCTTTGAAGGGTACCGGCGCGGAGAGGAGGCGGGGTCTTTCGTCACCCTCCCCTCTTTTCGTTCTCCCCAGTCTCTCGTGTCTTATACCTCCTCGCACGCCCGCCTTTCCTGTCGTCTCACCTCATTGTGGGTCGTGAAGGGGAGATGGGGCGAGGGTCAGAACGAGCAGCCTTCGACGGACTGGGTTTATTTTCGGAGATACGGTGGTGTATTGATGACGAGGGAGACTGATGAAAGACCTCTCTTATTACACTTGAGGCGTTGAACGCTAATTTACGAGTTTTCGCGGGGTCGGAGGCGAAGATTCATTCAGTTCTCGTTCTGGAAGGACCGCTCATAACTGAAAGTGCCAGACTAGGATAGTGGGCTGCAGTGTGAGGAACGGCTAGCATCAAGCATGTGGAGGGAATATGGCATGAAAGAAAGACGCCGCTATATGACTGGGTCCACCTATGGGTGTGCTCATCACTTCCAGAATTATCCAGTTTTTTTTTGCGTTGTTTAACTGCCACTAATAGTTATTGAAATATCTACTTCTTGTATTGGTCTTTTAGGGGCCGTAACTGATTTGGAAGTTATTTGTAAATCACTCCGAGAGCAGGGACACAACGATGTGCTAGAAGGTCAAGGAGCAATCTCTTCTGCTTAACTGCTAGCCGCCATTTTCTCCTCTCGTTGCCCGTCGCCAGCCATTACTTATGCAAATTAAAAGCCTAATTCAGGAATATCGAAGTTCTAAGCGTGCTACCTTAGTACCTTGCTCTTGTTCGATAAGATAATATATGGATGTCTAGCCCGTTCATGGAAAATGACTTCTTGAAGGCTTCTTGGCGGCTTTTATGATTCATAAAGCGCAGCAGCCCGCGACGTTATTGGTCTCGCCTGATGGGTTTAGTATTCATTCAGGACGTATTAACAGGTCTTTAAAAGCGGCACCGAGGGACACTTATGTGACGTCATGCGTGTCATAACGGCGCCGCGGTGGCCACGATCTCCGTACGATCTGACTGACACGGAATTTTACCGCCCTCCTTAACCTAAAAACGTCACTTGGTATTCCAAACTACAAGCGACAGAGCCTGACGTTATCTCATTGAACGCTTCGATTCAGTTGTCACCGGCCATAGCGTCGTGACTGGTGGCCAGTGTGAAACGGCTTTTGAATGTGAACATTGGCGATAAACGTGCCCTGCAGTTCAAAACGAGTGTCGACACACCCTTTCCCATGTGTCGGTTACCAGGCGGCCTTTCAGCGCCCAATCACTGACCTAAACTATCTCCCTGTCGGCAGCGACACTTCTGGCGACTACGACACGACCCACCACTACATGCAAGTACCGACGCCGTCGTACTCGTGCCACTCGATCCGGTCGACCCACCACTACGCGTCGCTGCGCCCGCTGCCCACCTGTCCGTCGTACAGCAGCCAGAAGACGGTGACCACCCCGCTGGGCCCGGCCGTGGGCCAGACGCACAGCCTGGGCTCGCACGGCGGCGCGGCCACCTTTGGCCAGTCGCTGAGCCACAGCGTGAGCCAGGGACTGAGCCACAGCTCGGCCAGCTCCGGCCAGCCGAGCTCCAGCCACGGCTCCGGGCAGCGGGTGCGCGACGTCGGCGAGCGCGTCTCCGAGCTGATGGTGGACCGGCGCCGCGTGGAGATCGAGACCGTGCTGAAGGAGGGCAACTTCGGCAGGATCGCCACCGGCTGGATGGCCGACACGGAACGCGGCGAGAAGGAGCGGCTCATCGTCAAATACGCCTCCGGTGAGTGCGCAGCTGCGGGACCCGGGGCACCGCCAACACCTGGAGTTGGTATGATTAGCAGACGTTTTCACATGATAGGAAATGTGCTTGATCAGGATGTCCGGTGAATGATGCATCCCTCAAAATGTTTGTTCTGGAGTGGAATCTGATTCACAGAATGTTAGCAATAACCATGCGATGCAGTACCGTAATCAATTTGGAGTTGGGTGTGTCGGTGCGACTTACGACAGGTATGTCGGATGATGGTTAGCGCGGGCAGATCAATGAGCCTGTCAGCAAATGGGTGCGGACGTTTAAACGTCCACCTACGTTATGAATCCATCTCGCGCGGACGAGCACGCGCCCATCAAAACTGACATTCCATTTCACTCCATATAACTAGCATATCAGCCTTCCAAAGCGATTATACAACTCGCATGCCTGCTGTCAAACCTCGCCGCGTTTGTGGGCTCAGCCGGACGATAGTTGTCCCTCCCGAACCGTCAGCCAGCCGGGTTCGAGTGGGGTCCTATGGATCGTTCAATCATCCAAACGTCAGTTCCAGTGCAGCAGCCCACGTGAAACACATCTCAGCCGTCTGGCGCCCGCTAGCAAACAGATTACGCATGAATCATGGCTGATTTATTTATGTTAATTGGGATGCCTGGCCCGAGCCGGTCGCTGATCGCATGGGTTTAATAGTCAGTTATGGCTGCTACACAATACTAATAAAGCTAATGCACCGACGGAGTGTGAGTGGCGTTGTTAATATGATTGGCCACAAAGCTGGCGGGATGAGTCATATCCTAATACGCTTGTGATTAAATTGGCGTACCCATAGATTATCGAGTACCCGCAGTTCAGCACCAAGTGGACTCACTTCACTAACGAGCTCACCTTTGTTGTTCCATTACAATGCAGGCTGAGTCGGGAGGCTATTCCAGTAACCGGCGGCGCTGATCTTTGATCATTGCCGTGCAATTCGGCGGCCGTCCCACGCCCGTCCATCACGCTCCGCATGCTGCTGCGGACGCAGTGTGCGCTGCATAGACGCCTCTCGGCCCTGTCAGACGAGGGTAACCCGAGACGAACGCACCCTCCTCGTGTCGGACAGGCCCTGGGCGCGGCCGAATGCACTCCCAGCTCCTTTTACTGATCCCGGATGGGTCGGACAAATTGTGCGCTTCGTCATCTCATTCTCCTCGCATGCCTCTCCCCGAAATTATCTGCGACATTCGATGGAGAGCCGAAAACCCGACGGCTAGACGAGTCTCTGCCAGCCGATGTCTGTTGACCGGACGAGGCAGGCAAACAGCGGGATCCGTGATTTGACGCTGGACCACCCCGTTTCAGATCGAGCCTCGCCGGCTCAGGTGTCCCTGCTGCTGCAGGAAGGCCTCGTGTTCTACGGACTGCGGCACAAGAACCTGCAGTCCGTGCTCGGCGTGGCCGTCGAAGAGAGAGCGCCTCCACTGGTGCTGTATCCCTATGTCAAGCACTGGAACCTCAAACAGTGAGTGGGGCCGGCTTACGGTCTGGCGGCGGGTGTCGGGAGGGTTGACGAGGCGCGATGCCATCAAGATAATGTCGGGCGCGGGTGATGAGGCGGGGTGAAAGGACGTCTGCGGTCTGTTCCACCGCCACTCGATCAACGTCTGAATATCACAACCTTCAAGCGAGGCGCAGGGCCTCGCTTTTTGCAATATAGTCTTATAAATAGTACATTTAGAGACTCTCGAAGAGATAATGCTCGAGCTGTCATGCCTAAGCGCATGGAGGATGCGCAAAAGACATTTGCCGACGATGCCCTATTTTGCTGAAGGCTGCCTGAATAAAACACCGCACCAGACAGGGCAGCTGCCCGATACCGTTCCTACTCAAACCGCCGGCGCTCGGTTAGCGGTCTCTGAATGTCATCGAACTGAATCGCACCGCAATCAAATTTCCTACATTGTATCATTTCCGCATCGGTGCTGTCAGCTATTTCATCGACCGCGTCGCGGTTACCGGTGGCCATCCAATAAAACTGACCGCACTGAGAACCGTTCACCAGTGTCCGCGTTTCACCCGGCCATGTCCACGGCGCTGGGTGGCCTCTCAGCAACTTTTCACCGTCGTACGTCTCCCTAATCTGACAACTTAATAGCGGCATCTCGTCAACTTGGTCGTGGACGTCTGGCTTAACTTCACCGCACGAGCGCGCATAATTTCTTTAGCAGCATGACGCCAGAGCTCGTGTTTCCTTCGAGCGTGTTCCGGCACTCCGCTGGAGAATTACACTGTCCGATGGAGGCCGTGTTTCAAAAGTGATAAAAGGGAGGCATCCAGCTCCAGACCCGTTTGGCGCCTGAGTTTGCTCTCCAGTGGGCCTATCACTCCCTAGAGAGTCACTTCTGATGGCCGCTACGAGTTACAATGCCGTCCGGGGATCGTATCGCTAGCTCGCCGCCGAGCCGCAATGGCCCTGCTAATGGCTGATGAAGCGTAATGATGACAGGAAGGCTAATGATAACGGCCAACTCTGGGTAGCTAATGTGCTGCGTGTATAACGATGCCAGGCCGGCCAGCGCTTTGGCATTGATGTGTTGACCATGTTGGTTGCACTGCCGGTGGAGCTTTGATTCACAGCCTTGGTTTCAGCTGTCGTAGCACATGTATAGGGCTAAAGGATAGGTATGCCAGGTCAATCGGAAAGAGAACAAGGGGCGACTGGTCACTGGCCCTTGACCCAGCGGCCCAGAGCGCTGTGGACCGGGGAGGCTGCAGAACTGCAACGTGAGGAGTGCTGAGAACAGCTGAACTCGGCTTGGCGAACAGATAGCGGCCGTACGAACATCTTCCCGGGAGAATAACAGCTGACTCAGCTGGCTGGGTCGGGCGATGGATGACTGATGACTCTGAGTCGGTCGGACGACCTCAGAGCCGCGATGTCAGGGTCCGAAATGGCCACTGTTCAGAAACAGACGGTTGTTGATCGACCTCTATTGGGGAATCGATTGGCAGGGTTGAGCGATGCGGAGAGCCAGCGTCTTATGGACCCTCAAATAGATTTGATCTATAAGTAGTACGAGTAAACTGAAGAAGACTTTGGCACCGAATCATTCTATACTTTTGATGCTCGGTATTTGATTGTACCGACACTGACCAAATGTAAAACGTATTTACTGCCGTGGTGCAGATTCCATGGCATGGTCATTTTCCGTTAAACTCTAATTCGCTTCAGCTTTAATTAACACGCTCAGCCTGGCCACCAAATAATAAGGCGATTTACAGTTTCGTTACCAGCATTCTTGTGAGAACTACGCTATGAAGCTTTTCACGTACGACAACATTTCTCACGTGATCCATCCGATTTCAGTTAGCCAGCTACATGGCAAATAACAGAAGTGCCTGGGACAGGTCTGTGGTCATGAGATCTGTGTAATGACCTCTACTGGCCCTCAGATCCTGGCAACTCGTTTCATTCCTTATCCAACGTATCAATGCAGTATGCCGCATTCCTGACACGATTGGTCCACTCCTGTTCTTGGTCTAACAAGCTTCGAAGACTGACAGCCACGGCAGCATCTAGATTCAGAGCTGATCACAGTTGTACACCGCTCCCCTACGAAACCGCAGTGGCACATCTGGACGCGGCCATTGTCACCTGAAGCCTGTCACGGTGGTCTGTCTGATGCATCAGCTCATATCACTGTGCACGGCTGTTCGCCGAACCTGTCAGCGATAGCGCCGTGCACTGCACTGGGAAAACAGCCTTACCGAGGCCCCAGCGTCTGCTCATGACCATGCAGTGCCAGCACATGCCCCCTGTCTCAAGTCTGACGAACAGGGCCCGCCGTCTGCCCCTGGCCCTGCAGTGGCCGCTCGGCCCCTCGCCGCAGGTCTGACGGCGGACACTCTGCAAACATTACCATGCCTGGGCACGGCTCGCTGGGTGCCATGGCCGCTGGCATCGGGCCGGCTGCTTTCAGTCATAACATGTGAACGGTAGTTCAGAGCGGGCCGGCTGACACCCTGAGGTTGTTTTACAGATCTATCTGGGGCTTCGTGGACTCTGTATTTGCAATCATGAAGTTCTAAGATCACGCTCTCGCCTGTAAAATTATGAAACAGCATGTTTTTGGTTTCTTTGAAAGGTGGTCAGAAAATCGAATGCAAAACATGTGCCTTCGGGAAATCGAATAAAACATGTGCTTTGAAACTATGTGCTAACAGGAAATGGTTAAACGTGCATTGCACGACCATTTTATCAGTTCGTGACCTAACGGGCAACGTGACACAAGCACCATGCCATTTATTTGCATGAGACTTTCGGCCGTCTATTTAATACCTGAACACATAATTATGAAGCGAAATAGATTGCATATGGTGGCAGAATGGCCAGTATGACGGATGGCCTTGTCCAGAAGTGCAGTATGTATGCGCCAGCTCGCTAGACCAGAGCCAGCTCATTATTTCTTGTCGAGACTGAGGCTCGCCAGCCGAGCCATTCTGCGGCCGGACTTTATCCGAGCGCGCTATTCGGCGTAATAAACGGTCATGAGTCAGCGCGGCGCGCCACCCGCGCGGCGCGCTGCATGGCCCATCCGCCCGGTGCACTGCATGGCCCATCCGTCGGGCGCACTGCATGGCCCATCCGTCCGGCGCACTGCATGGCCCATCCGTCCGGCACGCTGCATGGCCCATCCGTCCGGCGCACTGCATGGCCCATCCGTCCGGCTACGCACTGCGCGGCCTCTGTGATGTGGCTGCGGGTGGCGCCGCGCTACTACGGACTCACGGAGGCCGCAGTTTTATACTGGAGGAACAGCGAAAATGGAACTAGTCCATCCTACCACGGGCTCACGGAGGCCGCAGTTTTATCCTGGAGGAGGTGGGCTAAGCTGCATCACGGAGTCATGGGAGGTCGCAGTTGGTCCTAAATTGTGTCTGGAGCAGCAGCTCGGCCGATCAGCGGCTGTCGGCTCCCCTGACTCCTGAGACCTTCCTCAGACCGGCGATCTGGAGGGCAGATGAGGCAAACAGTTCTCTGATAATGCTCCGTCACATCCCGTAATGCTGCCGTTGTGATGTGACATGTCATGACGTGATGAGGTGCGCTCATTGAGCCTGAGAGGGTGCGGCGGGCAACAGTACACACTGACGCAACGAGCCGGCGACGTCCCTTCCCGGGAACTGCGGCGGCGTCCGGCGGCCAACGAGCTGTTTAGGGACGGCGGCACGGTGAGGCAAGTCAGCCATGAAACTGTATGTTTTCGGAGAGATAGGAATTGTTGCAGCTGGACGCATGACGTGGCGGCACCAGGCCACGTGAGCAATGCGGCAGCCGCCTGCAACTGCAGATGTGGCCTTGCAGCTTCGCGGAATCGCCAATTGGAGACGTTCATAACTTGCCTCGTGACGGGACACGATGATGTTCAGGGTGTCGGTGCGTTATGAAGCCGCTGTACTTTGAAATAATTCTGCCGATCATGCGGACCGGCCAATGAACTCTGGTGTGCAGTACTTCCTTGTGGCGGATGCTGCGGCTGGTGCCTGCTGTCAGGGAACCGCCGGCATTCAGGGTGCTCGAGAATGGCACAGCGGCTCCTGTCAGTCAGACGACCGCCAGTGGAGCGGACCCGCTGTGGGTTTTGTCATGACCTCGTGCGGTACGTCTCAGCCGCTGACAGGCACATGCGTCAACAAACGGCACAAAACGTCACCATGCCGACAAAAAACGACAGAGATATGTAAAGCCGCCGTCTTCCACTGGCTTCACGGAATGACGCACATACGTCAACGCCGCAGCCGAACGGCAGCCTCCCCATAGCAACTGCTCGCGGCGCGGACTTGGTTTGAGCCGCGTACATGCTGTGTGTTTGCACAGTGAAGCAGAGCACACATGGTGGAAAAGTGACGGGAACCGCCCGCCGGTGTGTGCCGATCCGGCCAGAAGCGCCCGTTCCCATGGCTGTGCCGCTTTGATCCAGCAAATTGCTGCGGCAGGCGGTACCTTTTTATCCTGGCCGCTCCCATCCTGCATCTCGCTGTCCTCAGCCGCTTATCCCAATGCTGCATCCTCGACGGTCTTTCTCAAGCAAACCATCTCGCTTAGCATAGTTGCCATGTTGGTGGTAATAGTGGATCAGTATGCGATAGGCCTTAGCTCACTCCAGGCTAAACCGATCGACGGTTGCACCGCTCGCGTCTGCGTGGGCCGATGAAACGAACCGCCGGGCGCGACACACCGGTCCGACGGGGACCACCGGTTTCGGCGCAACGGTGCGACTCGGTCCGTTTGTGGGGCCGACGAACCGACCTCCGGCGCGGCGCGGCGGCTGCAGTGGGCGCCGTGGGTGCGTCGGTGATGGTGTGCGAATTTCGCCGGTCATTTGGAGCCACCTGGCAGCGCCACCGGTGATGTGGGATGTGGATCAGAAGCGCCGTCGGTCCGCCCGCCGCCGCTGCGGCCAGGGTTTATTGGTTTTCTCGGCACGTGCCAAACTGTGAAAAAGATCAGCGTTCGAGGCGACGGAGACGCCTCGTTTCCCGCGGACCCAGCAGATTTCACGCCGCATGCTGGTTAGACAGCGCGAGCGCCAGACTGTCTCAGCCGCGATAGCTCGCCCTAATAATCCACATAGATGCCTGGAGCATTTTTTGAAGTGCGGGAGTCAAATTTGTCGTGAAATGTTCGAAGGTTAGATGGGCTTTTTTTCCTGTGACCGAGAAATCTAATAAAAGGAACAACATCATGAAATTGTCAACAAGTTTCACGGAGGTATAACCAGCATGTCATTGCTCTTCTCTGGGTTAAGTGTTTGGAAATAAAAAGCGAGAAAAGTGAGTCTTCTGAGTTAGCAAAGGCTAGATCCATGCTTGTTCACATTCTTCTTAAAAGCGTGGCACTCACATTTCACATGTCATTGGGCCTGATAACTTGTTTTACCGAACTTCTCACTTTATTTTCTTCCAAACAAAGCAAATAAACTTCCACACAAAGCCACCAGCCACAGACAGCGACCCAGCGGCCAGCACCCCTCACAGAGGATGAATTAATCTCCCCTGTCTCCGTGAAATCGCCGCGTCCTCCCTGCCTTCACTTTACAGCAGCGCCGTGGGGATTTTTCCATGTCCCACCCCGTGGATCGGATGTTCCGCCGTCGGTCGAACCGCCCGTGTTTTGTCACTGTGTCGGCGCAATCTGTCACACGCGTCGACGTGTCTTCCAGGCCAGTCCACATGACTGGTCAGCCTCGCGCGGTGCGCCGGTGCCGCCCCTGCCCGCCGCGCGCCGCGTATTTACGTTGAATAAGCCGCGCGTCGGCCGAATTATGTGGGAACAGAACGCGGAGTGATTTATCATTTTGGTAATCCGTCCTGGGACATTGCCGGTTATTCGGGAGGTGTGCGGGCCGCACGGTTTGTTGTCAATCACAGAGACGAGGCTATTAAATATTAGCATATCGCGGCGGGATCGGATCGGTTCGGTCGGGCGGCGTGGCGCCGGAGCGGCGAGCTCAGCGCGCAGACTGATGAGGTGGCCATTGAGACTGGACGGGCGCCAGCTGGTGTGTGCGTCCCGCGCACTTCATCAGGTTCAGTATATGGCCGGGCATTGAGGCGGCTCGATGGTGCCGATCGCGACACCGCCGCACAACGGATCGACACCGGTCCAGCCTCCGCAGACATTTCACCCGGCTCCGCCATATGCTGCGATTGCGAAAAAGATGAATGGGATCTATTTTCACGCGATACAAAACGTCGACTTGGCTCGACAATGGCTCTCAGTCTCGCTGTGGGGTGTCGCACTGAAAGCCTGGCGATATTTTACTGTTTGGCTCAAAATACCCGAGTGTCGCAGGCGCGCCACGCATCACGCAGCCGTCACGGCGGCCCCGGGGGCGACATTCCGGACTGTCACGGCGGGATGTGTCACACTGTCGACACGCCACGCCCGAGTCTCGGACGCCGCGCGTTGTGCGCCACTCGACACGCGAAAGCGGCGGCGACAAAAGCGGCGCTGCGACCGACAAAGTGGCGCTCCGCCGCGGTGCGGGCCGTGTCGCTGTCGGGAGGTCTCTCCCACGGGCTATTGTGCGCGGCCGGACACCTGAGCGCGGCCTGTTCACGGGTGCCGCGGACACGGCCGGACACGGTGGAACTCGGAGCGGCCTCCCCTGAACTCGGGCCGGGACAGGCCTGCAGGGACGGGTTCGAGTGAACTCGGACACAGACATGGCGGTAGGGATGGACAGGGCCGCCGCTGAGCCCGACCCGGACATGTCTGCAGGCACCATATATGAGCATATACGTCCGCTGTGCATTTCGAGCCCGACGCACAGTAGCAAGCATGAATCCCTCGGGCGGACAAGACGCACACTTGCATGTAAGTCACATGGCACAGGGTGGTCGGACCTGCCCGACGGCTCGCGTTGCTGCATTATATTGCGGCGCTACACTTATTACCACTGACCAGGACGTCTGTGACCGTGTCACGTACTCGCGCATCGCTGGTACGCCGGGTCACGTCCCCACAGCGCGACCCGCGGCCACGGCGCGTGCACAGCACACGTGCATGTGCGGTCCTGTGCACAGTGAGCGCGGACAAATGGCGGATCGCGGACCGGCTGACCTGAGTACGTGTGGCCGACTGCTCAGCGTGCTGTCATCGGCGACTTAGCGTGCTGCGGAGGGCCGTGACACGCGCGGGCGGGCCCACCGACTGTCCGACGGCCGGCGGTCGCGTGCTCTCCCAGCCACCGCCCCTGGTCCCAGTATCGGCGGAGCCCGCTCAGATAATGGCTGGGACGTCACCTCCTCAAAAGTAACCACCCCGCTATTAGCGCTACAAGATAGGAGCACTCGGAGACGGGTGACAAGCTCCACCCATTGCGGCGCCTCCCGCCCGATCGTCGTCTCAGGAAACGAGCAGGGACGTCGCGCGTCACCGGCGCCGGCGCCACCCAGCGCCGCGTTTGTGTCTGGTGCGCCGCTCTCGTCTCGCGACGGATTTACGGTGTTTTCGCTGGGTCGCTGCTGAGCGGCGCAGAAATAATGGGCCACATTATCACCCTCTGAGAGCAGCGATTTGGACTGATTTAGATCTGACTGGCCGACGCAGAGTAATAATAAATACGGAGGCACGGCTGTCTGTGCAGCCATGTGCTACAGAACATGCCTTCGGCGCGCGGGATGGTGGAACCCAGCCCAAAGAGGCGGCTCAGAACGGTCCCTGGGGAGGCACTGCACGAGGGCGCGGCAGTACGCGGAACCCCGGCTCCGGACGCGGCGTCTGTTCGTGAGTTCGTGAGCGGGTGACAAATATCCGTGAGAAACTGAGCGCTGGACGCCGGCGTGATGCAATAAATCTCGGCAGGCTTTCCTGGTCCCCGCTGCGGGGGTAAGGAAAACAGCCGCGTGGCGGAGACCACGCCGACCACGCCCACTGCAGTCGTGAGCAGCTAACGTGTTTGGCTGTCACAGGCTCTTTAAAAGGCATTAATCCTTAGGTCTGTCACGGATACCTATCTTTATTAAGTTTTTTTAGCAGCCTCACCGAAGAAAGAACTATAGAAACCCATTGCAACCTACATGCATATGTTTCCCGCCGCTGACCGCGGTATCTGTCTTCCCCTTGCTCAGCCACTGACTCCCTGGTCTCTCTGTTCGGCAGGTTCCTGCAGACGTGCAGCTTCGGCTCCCGCAGCGACGTGCGCACGCTGACGGTGCGCGACGTGGTTGACCTGGCCGAGCAGGTGACGCAGGCGCTGCTGTACCTGCACATGCAGAACATCTGCCACACTGACATCGCGGCGAGAAACTGCTGGTGAGTCAGGCACTTCGCGCAGCTGTCTCGGGCGCTTTGGCGACATCACTGTCAAGGTTAGGGAGGTGGGATGGCAGAGAGGGTGAACCCAGGCCCAGCAATGCAGAGAAGTGTTTATTTCCAAATTCGGCTTCAAACTGCTCTGTCAACAACATTCCGTGCTGGCACCGTCCACAGACGAACTAAGCGCCCTTGTTGGTCCAATTATCCTTCAACGAATGGGGCCAGAGACTGGGCGCTATCTCCCCAGACCCGCCAGACGCACCAGTATCAGCTCAGTTTCCAAGTCTGTGTGGTATTCCACCGAGGTCATCTCAGTCTGTCCCGGGATGTTAAGTACAGTGACGACGTCGCAATGCCAGTGACACGAGTGAAGTCACCCCTGTCTGTGACATCTGGTCCGTCTCGGGTCACTATCTGGAGCTGTCCTCTGTCCACGGTCCCCGGCTCAGCCTCTGGCGGCCCTGTCCTCCCCTCTCGTCTCCGGCTGTCCCGCTCGCGGAGCTCGTGTCGGATATCTTCATCAGCGCTCCACGACCACGCTGAGCCGCCGAGCCGGTGCCGCCACCGCCGACTTTTTGCCTCAGCCGGTCTGTGTAAGCGGACGACCAACAACAAAGTCGTCATAAATTTGACGGCGCGCATAAATTGCGATTTGCCTGTCGACCTCCTCTGACGTTGAAAAACATCGCGCGCAGTGGGTGAGGTGAACTCACCCAGAGGGGGGGGGGCTCGCGGGGGGAGTGATCGATGAGGTGTCGGGCAACGCAGAGGGCCGGTATGTCATGGGGCGGCCCAGTTTTAGACAGGCGGGCCGGGCGAACACAGATGGCGACCACCGCCCCACCCTGCGCCCGCTGCGTGTGGAAAGGAAACACCGATCGCTGTATTGCTTGCTTTTTTCGTCCCAGAAAATTGTTCGAGACACTTGTGGATAGATGTCCTCTGTTGTGATAACCATCTCATCTTTTCTCGAATCGCTGAAACTAAACAGATCCTAAAGAAATAGACAAATGGATCCAACGCTATCAGAACCTTCGGCTGTTACAAAGATGTCCCCAACCTTATCCGACCCACCGCGGGCTCAATCCGCGCCGACCTGTGTCCGATTACCTCCTGGTGGGACGGTGACAGACGTCAAATCTCGGCGTGCGTCACCACTCAGGGCCCCCGTGCCATCTCCGCTACCGAATCCTGCCGTGGCCTGGGAGCGACACCACCTGGTGATGGCCGGCGCCGTGATACCGCCGATCCCCGTGCGGGCTGCGCAGCTGACGGTCGGTCAGCGCTGGGGGAGAGGAGGGCGCCGTGACAGCCCGGTCAGCGCTGGGGACGGGGAGGGCGCCGTGACAGCCCGGTCAGCGCTGGGGGCGGGGAGGGCGCCGTGACAGCCCGGTCAGCGCTGGGGGCGGGGAGGGCGCCGTGACAGCCCGGTAGCGCCGGGGGCGGGGAGGGCGCCGTGACAGCCCGGGGAGGGCGCCGCGATAGCCCGGTCAGCGCTGGTCAGAGCTGGAGAGGGGGAGCCAGTACGACCTGCACAGAGCTGGGGGCGCAGTGGGTTCAGTCAGTGCCGGGACGCCCTGGCGACCCCGTCAGCGCCGCGCTGGGGTCCCGTGACATCCTGGCCAGCGCGCGGGCGCCGTGTGCCCAGCCGGTCAGACGAGACCTTGGCAGCGGTCGTCATGGGCGTCAGCGCGACAGCGGCGTGTTAGCGTTGTTAGTCACAGCTGACGCTTCTGGCGGAGGGAATGAGGGCTTAATTTGCGCCGAATGAAACTATGATGACACTCAGAAAGCTGTGATAAATAGCTTTATCATAACTCATAAGTGTCATATTATGCAGGTAGCAGAAACGATGGACGCAAAAGGACCCAAATGTTTCTTTACGCTCTCGAGAAATAATGAGGAGCGTCGTTAAAAAACCGCGCCTATGGGTGTCGCGGAGGGGTTTTACCCAACAGACGGCTACGGATGTTCGCGTGATGAATTACGATAATTTAAGGCCTTTCGAGGTCATTAACGTTGTTCGAACGCTGTCGACAACCGTTCACCGTAAATAACAATGAATGATGTGAGATTCAGCAGGGCTCTGAAAAAATCGTTCCGGTGTCTATGATAATTAGATTTGGTGAGGGCTTCAAGGCATTGGAAATGTAGTTTTTTTCGAACACGTCTAAGTGGACGACAATTCACTGCAAAAAGACATGACTGCATAAAAAATTGCATTCATCACGAAACCTATAAAAATAAAATCACAAACAAATCGCTGCATATCACTATGAGCGGGCACGCTTCAATCTCAGACCGTCAGTGGCATTGCTGCACATTGCACAGTGCGGGGCACTGAGCCGCGCTGGCGGTGTGCGGTGACCTGGCAGTTTCCGCACCCGTCACGGGCCGTGACGCGTCTCCCACCCACCGGTCAGCTGACCGTGACGGCGTGACGGCGTGCACGCCGCATCACGGCGTCACGGGCCGCTCCGAGCTCCGGCGGGCGCTGGGACTGTCACACGGCAGTCCGCCGGTCAAACCAGGTCCTCTGCCGAGTGGCCGATCACTCAGAGGAATACACGAGCGAGGCTGACGGGTCAAAAAAGAGGCCGCTTTGGCCGGTCAGTATAGTGAGCCTCGCTAATGATTGGGCTAAGACTCTGCTTCAACCGAGTGAATCCGAGGGAAGCTTAGGTTATATCTGGTCAATCTTTGGATCCAAAAGTACCTACCAGGACGAGAACGATAATGGTAGAACGATAATGCCTGGACATTAAAGACGGCTCTGCAGCCTATGACCAGTTGAATGTCCGCCTCGCAGTGTCAAATTAGAGTTCCCAGGACGGCTGGACGTCGGCCTCGGGCCTGCGATCGACATGATGCAGAGCTGCAAAAGAATGGTTATTTGCAGCTGAGGGCATGACTGGCGTGATTTAGTGCCTGGCGATTTCAAGCACTTCGGTGCTCAGTTTCTCCAGTGGGGAAGTGGTCATCAGCTTTGTTGCATTTATGCAAGTCCTCCCAATTCACACATAAACATCAATTCACATATGGGTGTGTGGAAAACCAAAAGTTATGCGCACAATAATAATGTTATTGTTATAATAACCCTGTTCGATTTTGTTAGCAACCCCAGAATCTCCTAAATCAATCCAGTGACGTTGCTGATAAGATAAAGATGCATGTTTTGAACTGCTCGTCCAAGGTCACGCATATCACATCTCACTGCACCCTGCACATCCAGCCAGGCCCGGAAGTCTGGCGGTCTCCATCCCAATTCCGATAGCGAGCCGCCAGGCGCCGCGTGACATAAGCCAGCTGATCGGGAACAGTGGACCGGCAGCCTGTCCCGCTCTGACGCGGCACATTCATCGCACCGGATCAGCATAACTCAATCTGGTGGTTAGCGGCTGCGGCCGACCGGAGACCCGCTGCATGCCAAACATGCGGTCGGACGCGTATTCAGCAGGATGACACAATAACCGCCGCGCGGCGTCCAGCTCACAATCCGATTAACCTATCAGCGCGTCACCGCACCATCCCAGGAAAATCTCCCGCGTCCGGCCGATCTGTGTCAAGGTGTATCGCGCGATCTACGTGTTTCCAGTAGCGGCGAGCTCCTGTCGCCGGCTGGACACGGCTTCCTCCTGCCATTTCACCCAACTATCGTCATGATTAATCTTGACAGTAAAAGTCGCCGGCGCGGGCGGGGCGGAATGGACGCCAGCTCTGGGGGCGTTTCTTCTGACGCTGCGTGCCGGGCGGTGATCCGACCTGTCAATTACCCCGCGCAGTGCCAGGAGCGGCCAGCGCCGGTGACCTTTTTGCCGGGGCGTCGCCGCCGGCAGGTCGCCCGCTGTCTGTTAGCCGGCTGACGTTTTCCTCCTCTCTGTCCCGCAGCATCGACGACACCCTGCACGTGAAGCTGGCAGACAACGCGCTGGCGCGCGACCTGTTCCCGGAGGACTACTGCTGCCTGGCAGACAACATCAACCGCTCCATCAAGTGGATGGCCATGGAGGCGATCCTCACCAACCAGTACACACCGGCCTCAGATGTGGTGAGTCGATGGAAGGCGAGAGAAAGGAGAGCGTATGTGTGTGTGTGTGTGTGTGTGTGTGAGAGAGAGAGGGGGGGGGGGCGAGGGAGAATGGAAAGGAAGAAAGAGGGAGGGAGTCTTTGTCGCACAGTGTCACAAGGCAATATAGCCTGAGAATCTCGGAAAATCGTGCGAAAACTTCTCAAAGTGCGGGGGTCGCAGCACAGCCGAACATCATGCAGCGCCCAAGTCAAATGGCCGTCACTATCAGATGACAGCTCCTGCGTGGTGGCTGTCAGCACGGTGACTGTATCTGGTGACAGGCTCGTTTGCGACAGCCGTCAGCCCGGCCGACGGTGCGCCGCCGCACGTCTCCGGCGAAAGCACGTGATCCGTCGATTGTTTCGACGGCACTAAATCTCGGCGTCGGAGCTGACGTGAGGTAGTGATGTGCCATAGCTCATTCGTCATATCGCGGCGCGATCCGGCCGGAGAGTGGGGCCGCTGCAACCGGACCGGGTCGCTGGAACCGGACGACTGCCGGCCATCTGATGGGGCGAGTCCATCTGTCGGACGGCAGCTCGGGGCTCCCTGGAGACGGACGATCCGTTACACAGTCACCCTGAATCACCCGCCTACTCTCCGTTTCGATATGCGCCCCGGGCGCGGTTCGGATACCTCGAGAGCTGTCGCCTCGGGCAGTTTATGGAAATCCGTTCCGATTACGGACCTGAACGAGCCCCGACGCTCATCTCCCTCGGTCGCCGATCGTCGCTCCGTAATGGCGTAATGCGTACTTGCGCTCCCGAGTGCCTGGTCGCTCGTCGGCCCTTGGTCACGAGATGGACACAGGTGCTCGTTAGGGCGAGTCGAGGAGGTGCGTCTCTCGGCGCCCAGACAACCGCTGGCCCACCTGGCAACAAACGTGACTGGGAGATTCCTGGGCGTGGGACGGAGGCGTGGGGTCGGCTCCAGGACACTGCTAGCGCGCACTAACGCATTCAGCGATTGTAGCTAATTGAGTTCCGTGCGACAATGGCCCAGCGGCCGGCTTTGAGTGTCGGAAGCAAACATGTTCGAGGACTTGTTGGAACGGTAGTCGGGCTGCTTGTCTGAGATGTTTATCGCCGAGGTTTTGACGAATCCTGTGTCTGTCGACCCTGATGTCCCTGTGACTGAGCCCCCACCCTCCTCCCGCAGTGGTCGTTCGGCGTGCTCTCTGTCTGTCTGCCACCCTGCTGTCCTGGGACTGAGCCCTCCGCCCTCCTCCCGCAGTGGTCGTTCGGCGTGCCCTCTGTCTGTCTGCCACCCTGCTGTCCTGGGACTGAGCCCTCCTCCCTCCTCCGGCAGTGGTCGTTCGGCGTGCCCTCTGTCTGTCTGCCGACCCTGCGGCCCTGTGACTGAGCCTCTATCCTCCTCCGGCAGTGGTCGTTCGGTGTGCTCTCTGCCTGTCTGCCGACCCTGCTGTCCTGTGACTGAGCCTCCACCCTCCTCCGGCAGTGGTCGTTCGGTGTGCTGCTCTGGGAGCTGACCACGCTCGCGCAGCAGCCGTACGTCGAGGTGGATCCGTTCGAGATGGCCAGCTTCCTGGACGAGGGGTATCGGCTGGCGCAGCCGCTCAACTGCCCCGACAAACTGTGAGTACCACTGCGCCGCCCTCCGCGGGCCCTGCGGCCGGAGGAGGACAGAGGGTAACACTCCACTCGTCTGACACAACCTCCGCTGGAGGAGTGCGGAGTAGCACTCCACTCGTCTGACACAACCTCCGCAGCGCAGTAAAGCTGCAGAGATGATGCCGGCACGTCGTAATGAGCGTTAATGGCCACGTCGCTACTGTGTGCAAGATGTTCATTGTCAAGTGCTTCAAATGTGTTTGTTTTGACTGTTATTTACTACTTATTTGTCCTTGTCTTTTGTCATCAATTTGCAATGTTCATTCCTTCAGCACCCGCCCATTGTGAAGTTTAGCTTTATAGCGCTAGCGAGTTTAGATCTGGATGGTAATGGGTTAATTTGCGGGTGTGCAGTTTAAGTGTGTCTTTATTACTGACAGCGTTGCACGACGTAGTCCCATCGGTGTTCTACCGTAGACCCATTCAGCGTTCAGGGAGCCCGTGCTCCATCTGCAACTGCTACTGCGTACACCGGACCTGGGATAGTATCACGACGTTGACTACCGAAGAAGCGTGCCTCAGGAGTCTTATGGCTCACTAAAAGTGCAGTAAACGCTAGGAAAAACACGCTCTACGGTTTTAATATCTCTCACTTGGAGCGCGATGACATTTTGGCTCTTGTCATTTATGCCTTGGTAGTTGCATAGGGCGAATTCGCTAGCGCTATAATCCTAGATAATCTCTTGAAGATAACGATGAGAGCACCTTCATAGAAAGGTGCTTGCCTGTTGCGAAAAGGCGTGGTAGTTTTTAGTGTTATTCGAAATTACTGAAGAAGTAGTAGGATGCGTCGATGTCCCGCACTATCGGCAGCGCCGAAAATTAGAAGAGTATATACTAAGATACGCCCACCGGATGCTGACGTGTTGAACCTCGTTTTTACCGTCTTGTATTTTTGCCGTCATTGATTGTGTGTGGCCGTGTGTTGCAGGTTTTCCGTGATGGCAGTCTGCTGGACCCGGGAGCCCGAGGAGCGGCCCACTGCCGAGCAGATTCTGGATTACCTGCACAGCTTCACCAAGCAGCTCAGCCACTATCTGTGAGCGCCGCCACTTCCTCAGCTTCGGCACGCCGCGGCAGGGACTCTGTTTTACACACGACCCTGTTCAGCTTCCGCTGCCGCTGCTGCTCGCGAACGTGCACCAGCCTATCAGCGGCAGGGCTGCCGTTGTCAGGCAGCCTGTGACGGTTGTGCCGCCGTTTGACGCGACGCGAGCTGTGGCACCAGTTCAGTGCAATATCGATTGCATGTTATTTGGTGGAGACGAGAGCGACTTTCGACGCGGATGTCAGTGCGGACTGCGGACCCTGTGATATATTTAGGTGTGGTCCGAGGCCGGCAGCCGAGGGGCGCCAGAGAGCGGCGACCTCAGTCGCCGCGTGCGTGTTATATGTGGATGTTTCTACCCCATTTTCTAGTCGGACGCAAGGGGTGTTGTGGCGGATAGGATGCTGGTCAGATCAGTGTAAATCGGGTCAGTTCGTTGACCGACAGTGGATGTTTTGTACTATGGTGTTACGTATGCTCGTTTCTTATAACAATGTGATGTCACTAAACACAGACAATGCTTTTTGCCGCCGTCTTCTTTCTTTTCACTATCATGGAACTTGGCTCGTGGCGCTGTATTATCATCTAAAGCATGTCTCCAAATGTTTCTCCTCCCCCGCACGACCGAGATGTCTTACCGACTGTTGATGTTTGCTGATCTGTGCGTTACAATCAGAAAACTGTCGGGCATTCTCGGCTTCATGTGAAAATGTGAAAATTTACAACTCATCTTTTATGTGATGGGGAAGTGTTTCACTACGTAGGTAAACGCCATGCCCGGGAAGTGTGAAACTTGGTGCACGCGCACATTCAAATGCTCTCAACACGAAATATAGATGGATAACAAACGTTCTTTTGTAGTCGAAAAGTGACCAACTGAGTTGACCAAGGTATGGGTGCATTGAGAACAGTAAAACAGTGAATGCTATTCAGTTTTTATAACTGTTTTGTTTCGAGCATCCAAAGCATTAGTGATATCGTCAGCAATAAGCGCACTTTCTCGCATTTGCACCTCGCAATTTCAATCCAATCAGGACGATGGAATACCATTACAACAAAAACAAAATGCAGTTGGAGCAAATAACTTGGCATGAATCACTCAGTCAAGCTGGGAGACAGCTGTTTGATGTCCGCCAACAGTGGTGATACCAGTTTGATGTCACCTTAGACCAGAAAGGCCCTAAATCAATTGAATGCGTGAACGATTAGCTAACACATGTGAACGGACTGAGGTCTCTATCTGAACGAGGAGTAGGTACAAATGCTATGTGAGCAAGCGGTAAACAATAACACCTATATTGTGAACAGAAAGAGTGAACAAGACCAGGTAGCCGAAGCCTTTTTACACCGTAGTTTCATGGTGCGCGAACTGCAGTGAATATTATTCTCGAATCTCGATGATAATTGATCGGACCATATCGATTTTGACGTTCTCGGTCCGCTCTGCACGGGCATCACGTTCACATATTTGGCTGATCTGTAAGGTCGATCCCCCGCTGACGAGTTCTGTCGAGAGAACCACCGCCTGCGGGTTCACAACGGCCCCTTCCCCAGACGAGAAAAAAAACTATATAGGAAAAGGAATAGCAGAGAAAGTAAAAAACAAAATCACGCATGCTGACTCGCTGGCTGTCCTCTGTCAACTGCCATACGGGCGTCTTTCTTCTGCGCTACCCTCCCGCCCCTGCCTCCCCCGCGGCCATGCGCCGTCTCCTTCGCCTCCCCAATCCCCATCCAACCGTGTAATGAAATACCGTATCAAACACAACCTTCAGCTTTACTTCGATAGGGTAGAAAATGCCGTTCCAGAATAGATACTGCGAGCCAATATCTCGTTTGGAGCGAAGTCCGAACGAGCTGCTCTGGGGCCTCACAGAGCAGGCTTATCTCTAGCGCGATAGCATCGGACAAACTACGACCATTGACCAACTCTAATAATGTTCGACTTCCCGGCTGACGAGCGTCTGGGTGTTGTTGCCAAGCAACTGCAGAAGAATTTCGAAAAGTCGTCGGCTGGAAAGTCGCGTATACATATAGTGCAATAATGTTTTCGGCAATTACTAAAAGAAACGCGTCCAAATGTGAATAGATAAATGAATACATGGAGCTATTGCTATCTTATCAAAGGCATATTTTTAGCACATGCCGTTGTAAGAGTCATCTGCGAATGTTAAACACATTGTCACAAATGAATTCATATGATTATTAACCCTCGCCCTGGCAGGGCATTTTTCATAGCACGGCCTGGCAGGGGGGGGGGTCGATGCGACCCCCCCTCGCGATTGGCTCCTATGGCACCTAGAAACACCAAATTTGGTAGGTAGGTGGGCCCCCTAGAGTTCTCGCCCCTGTGCAAATTTGGTTGCTCTAGGTCAATATTTAGGGGGGTTTTGGGGGGTATAAATGCAAAAATTTCGCTAAAAACAGGTCAAAAGTTTTTCGCTTATAACTTTTGATCTAATTAAGATAGAGCAAAAAGAAAAGCACCAGTGAACTCAGCACGTCAAGGCGCGTCGAATGATATACTTTTTAGCTTGCTTAAGTGTACTTAAAGTTTTTCTTAAATTTTAAGTAAACTTAAATTAATAAATTAAGTTAAAGTTCACCAAATTGCATCATATCGCATATCATTCGATTCGGCTGATCACCAGGAACACAATGATACCATTTTTTAAGCTCTAGCGTCATTATGTGCCAAGTTATTGGCAAAAACGTCATTTGACCTCAGTTGACCTCATTTGACCTGACCCATGGATAAGTACACCAAACAAAGAAGCACCAAGTGACCTGCTGTAAAACACTGTGGTTTCAAAGCACGAAAGTGATAGAACGAAGCGGATCTCTCCAGTATTTTCCGAATTTAGTATTTTCCCATAGGCTTAACATTACGACGTAATGACCTCTAACTGACCTCAGGTCAGTGACCTCAAAAAACCCGAACTATATGTTATACAACTCGGTGAACTTAGCACATCCTGAAAGTTTGAAGGAAATAACTGCAAAACTGTGAGTTGGACAGGTGCAAAAAGAAAATTGAAATTTAACCATGACCTTGTACCGGTTTTTCTGACCTGGTGACCTGACCCAAGGTCACCCGGACCTGAAATTTTCAGGTTAACCCGTTTGTATTACTGGCAGTGCTCCATAAACAGACCGGAATGCCTACGCACTGCAACACACGCGCGACATGTTTTGCCGCCGAACCAAGAAACGCTTCAAACATTGTTTCAGCCTGGCAGCCTCGTGGTCACAAACCAAAGGCACTGGCTTCCCGTGTCGGCTCCTTGAGCTCGCTGTTGCGATGGTGACTGGCGATGATGACGGCGGCGGCGGTCGGCCGGCCGATAGCGGCGGCGGCCACCCCTCTCAATACCCGGCCGCGCGAGCAGGGCGTCCCCCAGCACTGCCCATTGACACAGAGGGTGGCGTATCAGCCGGCAGACACACGTACGCACCGGGGAGCCGACAGTAATTGCTCAGGTGCGCTGCTGCTGGCTGGCTGTGTGCAAACAGAGGCCTTACGACTGCTCCCCTCCCCACGCCAATAACTGATAACGGGTATAGGCCGAGCCCCGCCCGCCGGCGGCGCCAGGAGCTGAGCCGTCTGAGGGATGGAGAGGGAGGCACTATGGTGTGTCGTTTCGGGAACTAGCGAATGAAGTTTAGTACCGGCGTTCACCGGTGGATGGCGCTAGCTGGTAGTTTCGGCGAAAACTCCGTCTGAGATGTTTGAAGGCTTCCCTTAATCCCTTGTTCAAACATGGACCCCGTCAGCCCCGGCAGAGGTATTTGTCCAGTGTACACCGCACCTGAGGACGGGTCAGCTGAGGGAGGGGAGTCACTATTGTGGCCTGAGGAATGCCGCGCCGGTCGGGGGATGGGGTCGGTAGCAGGGGGAGGGAGGCAGCGCCGTTCTTGCGGTGACGGGCTGGCTTGTCGCCTCAGCCTGGCATACGCTCAGTCGGCGAGGCGCTGCGCATGACCCGGGAGCAGCTGAGAGTCCATGACTCCATATAGACAATTGGCTCGTTTGTAAGCACGAACACTTGGAATGTTGCTGGTGCAGAATTTAAGCATAGGGACGATGTTTTTTTGTGCCAAATTTTGTGTAGGTAGGTACATGTAGGGAACTTATAGAAATTTATTGTGACAAAGTTTCCAAAAAATCGGTCCATTTTTTTTTTTAAAGATATCGAGGTTTTAGTGACGTCATGATTTGAGTTTTCGACAAAAACGACACATGTTTAAAAAAATCATGGGTATAAAATCACAGAATAGACATACAGACATGCCGTAAACGTCATTGGACTGCCAATACCTACCATGAACAATCAAATTGCCATCTTCGATTTTCGATTACCTATCGTTCTACGGTTTTCAAAATCTTGAATGGAATCTTGGTAATTTCTTGTAGACTACTTCACGACCATGATGAATGCATTTCATAACCCGCACCCCGCTGGGGGTCCTGGAATTACACGCCATGCTGGTGGGCGGGGGTGTTTGAACACCCCCCTTTTAGCTCGGCTCCTGGGCATGTAGCGATACGGGGAAAGCGACGTTCGTCGTTCGAAAAAGCGTAAGGAATAATGGCAAAATTTATACTTAGGTCACTTTTTCGGTCAGGTCAAAGGTCAGGTCACCAGAGGTGTTTTGGACCCATGCTACTGAAAGCCCAATTTCATGTGTTTGATCTGACCTTGACCCGACCTGTGAACTTGAAATTCAACTTTCAGGTGCTCATCGTAAGTGTCTCGTCGCGTTCTTTCGTTTACCTTCTTGTCCGTTTTGCTGCGTCTATTGGTTCTTGAGTCGGGTAGCAGCTCTATTGGTTCCCGAGTTGTGCGCCGCTTTTTGAAGAAAAAATGTTGAAATAATCGGCCCAGCCGTTCTCGAGATCTGGAAGCGCCCCCTGCACGTGCGCACGTGCACTGCACGTCGTGCAGTAGCACCTTAACCGCAACACATGGGAATGCATAGCCTGGTGGCTGCCTACCTGTATGCCAAGTTTCAGCGAAATCGCCCCAGGGCCCATTAATTACCGAGTTATTGAAATGGGAACAAATTTGGCACCTCTTCTTTTTGTATTTTGCACGTGCAGTGGGGGTCACTCACATAGATCAAGAGTATCCGACCTTTGGTAGAAGGGATGCAGCTACCCTACAAAAATTACCGCTAGACAATCGCTCAAGCGGCTGCTGAGATAGGTACGAGCCTCTCAAAATCACTACTTTTGCAAAACAGCTTGAACACCCTTGACTTTTCACGTGGCACGTGCCACGACGGTCACTGAGATGTATCAAAAGTAGTCAATTACGGGGTAGAAGGGATGGAGCTACCCAGCAAAAAAGACCGCAGGCCAATCGGTCTAGCCACAGACTTCTCTATATATGGACTGTGCGCTGATTTGGGAAATTAGCATTGGAGTCCCAAATTTCTGAAGCCGTAACATGAACCCATATGTTGTAACACAATACCCTTTTATTGTTTCCTGTCGACAGGCTGAATTTTATGTAATATATTTTGCTTTTGCACTATCTATTGCTCGTAGCTCAGAATAAGAAAGGCTTCTGGTCGATATGAATCTGTATTGGAACATCATTTCACGTTCATCGACACCCATTGATGTCCTCATGTCAAGTTCATCTCGCATTGCACCAGTGGGCTTGAAAATGGCGTTAGTCCATTTTCACCGCGGAATCCAGCGAGAAAGGGTGGCTATCATCCCTTTCTTCTTCCCCCGTGTGCTGGATTGTTCACATCTCTGACATAGCAGGCTACAAACTCGCGCGACAGTGCACCGACCGCGCTGGTGGTAAAGGTTGGCGGTAATGCCGATAGGGGACTTT